CCAACCTATGTCGGCACCAACAATAACAAGGAGGGTCTGGAAGACAAGTCACTTGGTATAAGATTTGAGGATAGTAATTAAAAAAAATCTAGTTAAGTTTTGTATAGAGTTAGACACCTCTTCTATTAAGTTAGAAATAAACCATTTGGCTAGGTATGCTTCTATTTTGTTCCAATTATTAAGCTAACATAAGAATAAAGTTTTCCATATTTTTCATAGCAAATTTGGAGACTGAAATACAAGTGAATATTCTCATCCATCGAATTCAAACACAACCAGAGCTAAGGCATAAAAGACTAGAGCTTGGGAAAAAAAAAGGAAGAAAAAAGCACAGTTTAAAGATGTGGTGCAAAAATCAACTCTCTAACTGGCAGTTACCAAAGGAACAAGAGACAGGATTTCATCATTGCAGGCAGTGATACATGAAGAACTATAACTGATTGTTCATCAATTGCTATTTCAAAAGATTGTGAGAGTAGTAAAAGTGGTTTAATTTTACTTCTATAGATTATTATATAAGGAGAAGAAATGTGGCAACAGCTCACCAATCATGATAGACTCCAATAAGGCCTCTGTCATAAATAACTCCAAGGGTTGAAGACTTCCGAGCAGGAACAACATTCATCACCCACATAGGATCAGATACGAGTGCTGCCGCAAAACCCCCAAAAAATGCATTCATGTCCATGATGTTGCGTATAGCTTGAGTCCCAAGCTTCAAGTTCAAAGTGTTCTTATAATAAGCTACTCTCCTTGCCCACCGTTTTGAATCAGCTTCAAACAAATCTATCCCATTTTTCATGACCAAGGTCCTCGAAGGAGCCTTTGTGAGCCTTTCAGGCCACTTTGGGCTTGTCCCAACAGCATATTCTCCCTTCCCGGAAGATGTTCTAGTCACACATCGTCTTAACTTGAAGTGCCTGTAGAAAAGCAAAAGAAAAAGGTAGAAAACAGAAACTTAGAACAAACCCAACTGGCAGTTATTGTATAACACACAGGAATAGCAGCTGAAAGTGGAAGTAGTTATGGTAGTTCACAATTAGAACCACAAATGACCCAAAATGCAAAAAGAAGGCAGGAGAACTATATCAAAAATCCAGTGAAAAACTTTACTACAAAAAAATGAGCATCTTGTCACAATTCTTTGAACCTATAATGCATTCACAGAATGATTACCATGCATAGCTTGGGTCATCTGATTCACCACATAATTCAAGTCCAAATTCATTTTGATTGGGCAGGCATGAATCTCCAACTGGTTTCTTCCAAATGGCAGTGTTTCTATCCACAGCAATCAATTCATAACACAATGTCCTTGCCACAGCCTGGAGGTCTGCCCACTCCTTATCTTGTTTAGGCCACTGTACAGGGGGACCAGAGATTACCAGGTACCCTCCTGGGCGAAGTAGCCGATCCACTTCAATGAAATAAGTGGCATCTGAAAAGGCCAGATTTCTTCATGATAAGAACAGAGCAATAAAGGTATCATAAAATGAGAATACATTAAGAACAGCAAACAAAAAACCTACTGTAAGCTGTAAAAGGGATTAGGCATCGAGAACAATGGATGAAATCAAACGAAAATGCAGGAAATGGGAGTCTGAGGGTGCCAAGCATGAGAACAAAAGCTGGTACCCCCCTCTCCAGTGCAAATTGTATCTGTGCTTTGTGTGAATCTCTTGGAGCAAATGAGACGGTCAAAATGCCTTCAGATAACAAAGATCCCCCAAAACTTGCAACCTGAAAAAAAGTTAGCTTGCGGCATTTTCAAACAGTTCAACAATCAGTGCAAGCTTTAAATAATCAATGGGTCACCTACCCCACATCCCATGTCAAGGGCAGTCCTCAGAGTTCCACCACTTATGGGGATATACTGCCTTAGTTTCTCAATGTATGATGCTGCTCCTTCAGAGAACATTGTGCCACCACCAGGGAAGATAAAGTGAGTTCCTTGCACTTTCATCCATCCCTGATGACCTTTCCTGTCTGCAATTTTATTGTGTGGGATGTTGGAGTGCCATATCTGGACATCAAAATTTAATCTTTTTGAACTGGGTTAACTCCATGGTCATCCAGGGCAGAAGAATCCTCTACTTAAATACCAAAATTGTATGCAAAAGATCCAATTCAAACATAAACAGTTAACAACGCTTTAGGAAGTCAGAAAGATAAACAACGCAGGTCTTACATAGATGTGAAGCATTGGCATTTAAATGCAAAGATACCAGTGAACAAAGTTTTGAAGGCTGTTCAATTAGTCATGATACTAAGTTTACAGTATACTCAAAATATGATTACCACAACCTATCTCAAATTCCAAACTTGAAATCTTGGACTCATTCAAAGACTAAGAAACTAAAGGGAGAGAAGCAGTACCTTGTGCAAGCTCTCAGGCCACTGCACAGGAATCTTGTAGCCTTGAGGAGGAGGGATCAAGCAGAGCGGCATCTCATCAGGCAGTGGACAGTGCCTCTCTCTGTAAAAATTCATCTCCCTACTAAGCTGACTGTTTCGCCTGGGATCCTCACAGGGCATGTGATCGACGTAATCAGCAGGGCAGGCCTCGATGACCTGGTTGTGCTGGCCTTGCTCTATCAGAGCCACCAGGCGATGGCGCTGCTTCGGATCCGAGGTGGAAAGCAGCAACGTTTGCCTACCGGAGGCAGCCATGGAGTCCCCAAGAGGGGTGAAGACCATAAGGAAGAAGAGAAGAACCAGGCCGAAGAATGCAGCCGAAACAATGTCCAGGAGCTTCCATTGGCGCGGGTTTCGCTTAGACACGGGGAGATTTAGGTGACCCATCTTTCGAATCTGTAATATAATCTAACTTAGCATCTCAAGCTTGGACCTTTTAGTTAGATCCAAAGTGTTGCTGTGAAGAACTGGAGATGGGTTTTGTGAAAGATGACAGGTGTAGGGAAGCTTATTAGGTGTGGGGAGATACAGACAGCGGAACTAAGATGATTGATGCCGGAGACTAGCAGAGGGGAAAGAAACTTTAGGTGAAAGTAGGAAGCATGTGCATGACATCTGAATTGTGAATTTGACCTTGGAAAACAAAATTAACTCGGTTTCATCATGATACAAATGGAAGTTGTAACCTTTCACACGATATGCAAGTCGGTTCCATAAATGGATTTGGGTTAGAGGGCTGCCGAGTGCCGACCCAAAAAGGAACAAGAAAAAAAAAAAAAAAAAAAAAAAAAGAGAGGGAAAAAACCAAAAAGATGAAAGAAATTAAAGAATGACTCTCAATTTAAGAGGGTTAATGCCAACTATCATCCCTTTATTATCAAAAATAGTTCAATTTAAGTCTTTTACTTTCAATTCACCTCATATGGTGTCTCTACTATTAATTAACTACTTATGTCCTCCTCCTACTATTGAAAAAGGTATTAGTGTCGTCCCTCCGTCCAAGCTCCGTCCAATTTTGGGGTAACGGACACTTTTCTTCACCGTTAACCTTAACCCATCACTCATCCCAAGATTCTCAACCCCTTTTTTAGTATTATTATTGTTTTCCGGTTGGAAGTTAATTAGCACAGTGCCGGGAGAAGGAAAAAAAAAAAGTTAGAGAAAGAGTAAACATGGATGAATGAGGTTCTTCGGGTGAATAAGAGAATTTAGATTTGCATAGGAAGCTTCATGCGTTGAAAAAATTTTTATTATGAATAGGAAAAAAAAGTTTTTCCTTTGAAAGTAAACTAAAATTGAAACATATTAACTTTTAAATTTTAATATATACAATAAATAGTGCTTGATATTGTATAATTTTTTTTAAAAAAAAATCATACTTTTTAGCATTTCCCAATATGAAAATGGAGCTATCCACAAATGGAATTGAAGGGACGACATGATGTGAATTGAAAGTAGAAGGTTTAAATTGAACTGTCTTTGATAGTAGAGGGATGATAGTTGACATTAACCCCAATTTAAGAATTCACACCACATTTGACGGTTTTTAAAGTATATTCTAATACAATTTAAATTGCACGACAACAATATGTACGACAAAAAGGCAAAGTTGAAAGGCAATTCCCACCTTTTAGAAAAAGAATAATTAGACTGCATTTTTATCTGCGCAAATGTGGGATGATTTCTTGACACGCGGAAAGATTGTAAATGAAAACAAAATGATTTTAACTTGTTAGATCAATTTGGGTATACACAAAAAAGAAAGAAAAAAAATTATGCATCCGTAAATCCTCAACATCAATGCAATGAAACCTTGCCAAAGACACGTCGGTCATGCCATATACTAGGAAATTCAAAAAGTCAAAGTTTCCTAGAATTCCTAAGATTGTACTCATGCTTGAGAAGATTTGCTCTGAGCAGCATAGACCTAACATCTTGATCAAATTCACCACCAGTCTGCAAAACCCGCTGGAATGTTGCATTCCTCTGATCTGCATGTCGAGCATAAAGAATTTTGTTGTGGGAGTCAATTCGAGCCTGTAGAAACAACCAAAACCCTTTACAGAGTTATCAACATACATCTGGACTTAAAATTTCAAATAAATAAATCTGGACCTAAACCCTTTTACAATAAAGATTCTCAGCCTAAATCAGAAAATGCATGTAAATTACAAAACCAAAAGCAAGACTATGAAAGCAAAATAGCATACAAAGCAATACCTGTATCTGGTCGTCAGTGATCAAAGCTTCAAGTTCTTTCTCTAGCCCTGAAACACTTGTTTTGAAAGCATCAGCCATCATCCGCATATCAACAGACACAAATGGGAGTGTGTATTGGATGAGAGCTTTGTTCCGTATTTGATCATAGAGCATCTCAACGTGGTCATGTAAATGGATGTCAAGCAGTAGGTTTTGTTTGAGATTCCCAAGATATTCTAGGCAGGAAGCATAGTGACTGCAACAAGGAAGCAAATATTAGAGGCTAAACTACAAGAAATAGTTAATCAAACAGAAATGTGCAACTCTTCAGTCAGCAATGCACCCATTTTTTAAGGAGTTGGCCAAGATCCCATTTTTTGGTAGAAATATAAACAAGACACAGTGAAGATGAACAGGAAATGTAAAATATATTCAAGTGGAGGGACAAATCCCATCTTTAAGGCTAGGATAAGAATATAAAATTATACTATCTTAGTATATTTCCCTCAAAAGTGGAACATATATAAAACTTTCCATCGAATCTTTTCTCCAAACCTCCATCCTATTCTCTTTTATCATTTAATTAGAGTGGCCAAATTATAAATTAAAAAGGTTTATTAAGATCTTTTAATGTTCAAGAACCCATATGGCCATATTCTTAATCATAAAGTGAAGGCTATATGTCTGCTTTCTTCAAAAAAAAAAAAGACTGTATGTTCCATATATAACACAAAGCCATGTTGCTCCCCTATAGAACCACATACCAAGACAGAGAGTATAACAGATAAATCACCAAATAAATCAACTAAGACAAAAGAGAAGTTAAATTACCTTGAGTAAAAATCATTAATAAGCTCTCTTAATTCAGGTACTAACTCCAAGAAATTTCGGAAATTGATATTGTCTATAACTTTGTTCTGCAAATGTACACCGTTAAATGAATATGTCAAGTTCCAATCCATTACCAGAAGACAAAAAAGGAAGAAGGGGAAAAATAAAGAGAGAAGAAGAGATGCCTTGAGCTCCATCCGATCGAAGCTTGCAAGCGCACAAAGTCCTCCATAAGTAGCAACATCTTGAGGTGCAATGACGTCACTGTATGAATTTCCTAAATCTGGACCCACTTCCAAGAACTGCATCAGTAACAAATATAATGAATTACACAAGGAAATGATGACTTCAAAATGAGTGTGGTCTCAAAATCCCATATAATTTTCTCAACATAGAATAATAATTGCTGAAAGCAGAATTGAACAAATCATCTCTAAAAACCAAAAATACAGAAGACCATGATTAGAAAGAAATGAACAAACTACAAAAGCAAACCCTAGGCATTTCTTTTAGTTTTTAGATTTTCTAATTAATTATGGCATTTTTAGCAAAAAGAGAAAAACACCTAAAGCGCCTAGGTGGTGCCCAATGCTCACCCACCTAGTGCTTTCAGCAACATTGATAACGATGATGCTCCACCATTACCACAACCTCAGAGAAGTAAGAATAATATAAAATTATTTTACTTTATGCATAACATGCCAAAACCTTCCAACAATGCAAAGCCATTTCTTCAAGTAAACTTTTTGTTCTAGTTTTTGACTAAAATTTTATTGAAGTTGAGCTACTCTAGCTCAATTCAAGCTTTGAAATCTTGAAAAAGAAAAGGAAAAAGGAAACAGAAAATTCAAGTGGTTGGTTGTGCAATTTTGGAGCCTATCTTGCTCAAAATTGAGTGTGATTTTAAATGGTTTGAGTAAAGTACATACAAGCTCAAAAACCTTCAAGCTGAAAATTTATACCCACCCTCAAACCAAAAACGCTAAAATAAAAGATAAGGGCAAAGAAACTTACAAAGAATCATTAGCAACATCTAACTAGAATTAAAGACAGCAGCCTCATGGACAAACCTTACGAGCGGCAAGCTTGTACTTTTTAGCTTCCAAGTAAGCCAATCCTGCAGCACAACGTAGTTTTCCAACTGTAGAAGGTTCAACGGCCTCTGGTGTTTGTTCTGCCTTGCTGACATAATTTGCTACGTGAGTGAACTGACCCATCTCAATGCTAACCAGAATCGCACTCAAACACATTTGGATGATATGCTTTGATGTAGTGCAATAATCACGCGTCCGTACAAAACTTTTAAAGGCCTCCCCAAGAGCGCCATGAGCATAATAAAACTCTCCAAAATCATTGTATCCCATCCTTATACTTTCCTTGATCAAATTTGTCTAAAAATGGAAAAAGTTAAAAAAAAAAAGGTTAAAAAGATATGAAAGGAACATCAAATCATCATGAAACATAATTTCCTTGCCCACATAACAAAGGGTCAGTTGCCAATCAATAAAAAGAGGATAATATACTCAAAATGTTACCAAGAACAACCTTTTCAGAAAAAAAAAAAAATCTGGTTCCTGCTCTCTTTCCTTCCGTCCAGAGGCATGGTTTTCAGCTATTACTCCAGCTAAATGCTAGAGAATTTAAATTATTGATCTTTACATATTTATATGACAAGTTTTTGCCCATTGTGAACAAACCTTTTCCTTTTACTTCATTTTTTCTTTCATATAATTCTAATTCCTCAGTTCTTTAGGGGAACGGATAAACCAGGGAGTAGACATAAAACATCAACACAGACACAGAATTAGTGCAGAAGCAATGAGAAAGTGAAAATTACCCTATATGAATTAAGCTCGCTCTCCAGCTTCTCTTTCCTCAGCTCCGCCTTTCGGTCAATGCTCTCAGACCAAACGTTGTCCATCCCATAGTCAGGTCCCAATCTGCCGTCAATCTTCTTCACCACTTCCCGGAAGAGCTGCGTGTTCTCACCTCTTTTGATCTCATCATACGCCATCCTCAACGCTTCCGTCTGCATCCCGACGTTGTCGCAATGGTCAGCAATGAAAACCAGTCGCATGATCTTGGTTCGCCCCGAGTACAGCCCAGCGTACGCCTCAATGTCCAGTTGCTCGCCACTGATGATGGGTCGGTTCTTGCGGCTTGACGAAGACGACGACGACGACGACAACTCGTCACCGCCGTTGGCGTACAACATCTCCTCCATCATCGGATTCGACGAATCGTCTTCACCTGCCATACCGAGCACAAAATCAAGAAGAAGAAATCGCAGTCGAGGTTAGGGTTTGTCACTTTGTCTGTTCTCTCGGTGTCTGCTTTACAGTCTTTCAGGTTTCAGCTCAGTGCTGTTGTAGAAAACGATGTCGTTTAGTTTATATTATAAAGAATTACCCAACACAACTGGACTCGGCCCAAGATGAAAAGGAAACAGAAACTGGGTCTAGCCCACCTGACAACGCTAGGTCCATTCTATCCACCACAGAAAACAACAATAATTCTTTATTTTATTATTTTATTTTATGCAAGAAACTGTTTTACTAGGTAAATTATAGCATATGATAAAATGTAAAATTTTTTTTATCAAATTGAGTAAGGACAAGGAAGATAAAAATTTAAGATTATAATTTATATTATATCATTAAATTATTAATGTATATAATATATGAATTTTAAAATATAAAAAAATTAATCATTAAATAATATAAAACTTATATTTTAATATTTTAAATGATATAACATAAGTCATGTCATTAATATCATATTTTAATCTCAAATTTTGATTCATTTATCATTATTTTATTAGATTATAAAATATAAATCTTTTAAATAAAAGGTGGGTTTTTTTTATCTAAAAATTTTTATTTAACTCCATAAAAAAATTATTTAACAATTTAATATAATTTAAATTAAAAAATAATGAATTTTTTTTATGCATACAAAAAAATAATTATTTTTGTTTTCTTAAAAAGGTATTTTTTAACATGAATTGCATGTTTTTGTACGGTTTAAATATTGAAATTATTAAAGTATTATTAATAAATAAATTTAAAACATAATTTTATTAAAAATATTTAAATAGTTTTTATATTCAAACTAAAATAATTCCGTACTAAAAAATAGTTTTAAATGATTCCGTACTATTTATGTACTATTGTAATAAATGAAACGTTAAATTCCCATTGGGCCTTTTTACTTTTGGAAGAAACTCTTTTTCAGTGTTTTTACTTAAAAATTTTATTTTTAATCTTTAAAATTTAAAATCAAACTTCAATTTAACTCCTCCATTAAGTTTTGTATACATGTCACCTTATATGACGAAAAATTTTAAAATAAAGAAACCCAAAAGAAATTAAAATTAAGTTCAATTTGATTTCTTTACTTGAAAAAAAAAGCCATTTTTGATTTTTTTTTAACTTTTATTAACTAATACCAAAACTTAACAGAAAAGACTAAAAATAGATATGATTTTAAATTTTATGAATTAAAAAAACTTTTTTAAGTAAAAAAAAAAGTAAAAGGGGATTTTTTTTATAAAAGTAGAGGCACCAAATTAGAAAAAAAAAAAGGTATTTATGATGGTGAGTGAGTAAGCAGGATTATACGTGTCAGATTTTCAGGTTGCCACGATAGATAAAAGGCGCGAAAGTCTGCATTATGTTCCGGTGATAATTAAAAGATAAATAAAATTCGAGATCGTAATCTTTGTTTCTCCTGTACCTTCTGCTTTCTTCATCTCCATTTCTTTCTCTTCGTCTCGGCCGGGAATGGCGACACCAACTCGGGAAGCGATCGAGACCTTCATGAGCATCACCGGCGCGTCTGAGTCACTCGCCTTGCGTAAACTGGAGGTACATTTCCTTCGTCTTCTTCTTTTTTTCCATCATTGCCGCCGCTGGCTACTCTTCTCTCTATTTCTGAAAGTTTCAGATTCATCGCTTGCTAGGGTTTGTTTGTCGTTTCATCTTCTGGACTTTTCACCGGCGTTTCCTTCTCATAATGCGCGACCAAAATGCCGTCATATCTGAAAGAAAATTGGATCAGATCTCTACTTTCTGTTTTGATTTTGGTTTCTTCAACAGTAATTTTGCTGATTTTCTTAGATTACAAGCATTGTATCACTTTGTTGTCACTTAATGTCGCCTGTAATGTGATATAATCTATCTTACGCTTGCTAAGATGCTCGGAGTCATGTAGATCCTTTCCTTTAAAGCAGAAGATACGCTTGCTTGTTTGCTCGCTCTAACAAATAAGTTTCAATGTTTACATATATTGTGCTGTAAATTCTATGAGATTCCTGATCTCTGGTGTCTCTTGATGATTATCAGGAGTATGGAGGCAATCTCAATCAGGCTGTGAGTGCACATTTTCTTGAAGTGGAAAGAAGCATGTATGACTGTATATCTTAATTGAACATTTTTTGAATTTATAGAGGAATTTACTTTACATTCTGTGAAAGTGTTTGATATATTATTAATAAATTTTTTTCCATTTGTGTTTTTTTTTCTTCCCCCTTTGATCAGTACAAATTCAGCTCTCCCTGTCTCTCCTCGATACAATCCTGCGGATATGGACAATCGCTCTGGAGGCAGAAGAGGTGGAATTTTACCTCTTTTGTCCTCTGTTAGAAGTTTTAGGCCTTCATTACTATTTAATCCCAATTACAGGAGAAATTTATTCAACCAGATTGGTGCTTCTAGTTTAAATAACCGTACAACATTTTCTAACGTGGGAGACATGAGGGGCACCGCTGTAGAGTACAATAGTGGGAATGAGGATCATCATTTTGAACCGAGACATCCCACTGAGGTTTCAAGTGGAACATCATCATATTATGGCACTGGAATTAATCAGAATGCGTTGCAGAATAGTGATTCACATCTAAATAACAATGATGTAGAATCTGAAATGATGCAAGCTGCAATTGAGGCTTCTAAGCGTGATTTTGAAGATGCTTATTTGAGGAGGCAATATGGCTCGTCCAATGTACATATCATAGCTCAAGTTTTCTGTTTTGACCTGTTTCTCTCTTATGCTTCTTATTTTTGGTTTCCATTGATTCAGGAATCATTTGGTGTTGGTGTACAGCAGAGGTGGGATCATGAAGAAGAAGAAGAAGAAGATGAACTTGCTCATGCACTTTCATTGTCATTGAAGGTTTAGATATTTGCTTTTCTTTTCACATCAATTTAGTGCATCCTTTGTTGTGTGGTCCCTGGATTTCTCTAATATGATAATTATGTTCAGACAGCTGAGGAAGAGAGAGCAATACGTGAGCGTACAATGGAAGGTGAATATGAACAATTAGGTATTCACGTTTCAAGTAGAAGAACTGAGACAACCAGTGGCCACTCAAAGGTGTGTGCTTTACTTGCTGTGTTTGATTGTCACAAGCAAAATTAGATGAAGAAAAATTCAAATCAAATGGCATGATATTTGGTTTAGTTCCACAATTTGATTAGGAGTTTTCTTTTTCTTTCAAGTTTCCTAATAACAATTTTTATTTTATTCCTTGTGAATCCTAATAACAATTTTTATTCCTTGCGAATCCCTTTTCTCTAACAAAAGATGCTCTAAATTGAAGGCAGGAAGCTCATCAATTCAGCACTTGGGTCCTGATACTCATGATAATCTTCAGAACTCAAAAGATGCCTTTTATTCTAATGAGGTATTGTTACTTTGTTGACAAGTTTTTCTGCTTGGATGAAAAATGAGATATATTAAGAATTGTCCTACAATCCTACTAACCAAGGGGTTTGCCTCTTTTCTGGGACCACCACAGTGGGGTGGTATTTCTTCAAAAGAGCTTGATGAAGCAATCATGCTTGAGACCCAACTCTTCAGCCAGATTCCTAAAGGTTCTTCATATGGTTCTACCCAGAGAACACACAAGCCAAGTGATCCAGATAGAACTGTAGGTCCTCGACCAGAGGCTGCATCTAATCTGTCATCATCTACTATAATGGAACAGCGATTACTGCGTGAACAACAGGTTTGGCATCTCCTAGACTACTTAGCAATTACCTGTTATTTTGACGCTGTATAATTTGGGGGGAAGGGGTTCAAACTGAGCTCAAGAGTTGAATGTGAGGTGGAAAACTGACCTACCAACTGGCCTTGCTTCCTGGGTGCCTCTACCTAGCAAATTACTTGAGTGATGATATCATTCTTTGCCAAAATTGATTGAGTTTCATTGGCAGGACAATGAGTATCTTGCATCCCTTTTAGCTGATAGAAAGAAAGAAATGAATGTGCAGAAGGAAGCTGAAACTCGTAGTCTGAAGGAAGAAGGATCTAAGATGAAAAGGGCTGAAGGAGAGGTACTGTACTTTCGTGTTGAAGGATGATATAACTGTACTTACTTTCATGCTGAAGGATGATATAACTTTCTAAGTATGTGATATAGTCATAGTAAGGTTTTGATTTAGTGTTAATTTGTAATTTCATATATATTTCTATATGCCATAGGGTTTTAACAATCAAAAATATGGCATCTATCTCTTGAATTTGAAACAGCAGGACCTGCACCGGCATTTATGGCCTCCTGTTTACATATTTACCTCCATTTTGATTTCTGAAGCCCATGCATAGACTATTGATTTTTGTATTTCTATATTTTATGATGGTAGAGAGTACAAAGAGTGATGGCTGCAAAAGAGGTTTCACTGCCAAAGGAGCCAGCTATAGACGATGAGAATGCAGTTACTCTACTTGTTCGGATGCCAGATGGCAGCCGCCATGCTCGTCGCTTTCTTAAGTCAGACAAGCTGCAGGTAAAACTTCAGAAATTTGAAGTTGTGCAAGTTTGTTCTTGGCTCTGCTGACTTGGGTTTAATTTCTTTGTAGCTTCTTTTTGACTTCATAGATGTTGGCAAATTGATGAAGTCTGGCACTTATAGAGTGGTGAGTATTATCTAAATTTCCCTTTTATTATTATTATATCTAGGACCTGAGGCTACGACTTCAATTGAATTTTGATCAACATCTTGGGAAGTAGCCAAAATACTGTCCATGGCTTTAAGAATTTTAACTTATCAAGTAGAATTTTACATCAAAACTAACATACTGAGCCTTGTTGCTTCTGCTAATATCTAGCTTGTATATTCTAAATTTTGTAGTTCATTTTATTTTCTAGAAGTATGGAGATCAGTTAACTTGCTTATGCTGGCCTCCTTAATAAATTATTAAATTTGAAAAAAAACTGAAAATCACTTGTGCAGTGGTTGAAAGCATTACAGTTGTGTTGTAAAGTTATCTTCCTTTCCTAGTTCTGGTAGGTGCTGAGGGCCTTTTCCTCATACTGTCTTTGATGTACTGAATTCCATATTTCCATTGCATAGGGGTTTTTTTTGGCCAATGCATGTTGTGATTCAAATGGCCATTTTATTCCTTTTCTTTATGTTTGTCTTCTAAATTATAGTCCATTCATTGCATTGACAGAGTCCAGATGACCCATTTAATAATTAACTTCTTCTATTCTAGCATAGCAACAAAGTTGCTAGGATCATTCTTTGGGTTTAAATAGTGGCAGAGCTTGCAGCTTGAATTTATGACATGCTGAAAAACTACACTTATACTCTGACTCCGTATATCTAATGGACAGGTTAGACCATACCCCCGGCATGCTTTTAGTGTTGATGATGGTACTTCAAGTTTGAATGAGCTTGGTCTCACCAGCAAACAAGAAGCCCTATTCCTGGAACTATTATAGCACCAGAATTGAAGCATAT